ACGTAAAATGACTTTATTTTGTTCGAATAACACAAAAGCGATATTAGCACAATAACTATAAAATCTAATAAATCATTTTGTGTTTCCAATAAGTACAAAATAATAAAGTTACAAGTCACGATAATATTACAACTTTAAGTTTCACTACCAGCTGGTTGGCCCTTACAAGTGGAGAGAACATGACCAGTTTTCTTACTGTTGGAGCCAGGGGCCGACGCAGAAGTTTAAAGTTATGGGGCCACAATCGAACTTACAAAAAAATTGGGAGAAATTTTACAATTGAAAATTTACGTCCAAAAAAATCATACCACATGCAATTTTGCATTCAAAAATTTACATGGGATATGACTTTGTCAAATGTAAAATTTCGAAAAAAAATTATGTCATATTCCATATAAAATTTCCTAATAAAATGATGAAAATTATATTGAGAAATTTGTATTGCAAAAATAATAAATGTTAATGAAATAGTTGAATTTTTTTAAAGAAAATGCGAGTGAAACGCATTTCTTTAAGACTCACGTTTAACTCAATTTTAACTATTTTCGATATTTGTTTGGATTATTCGATGTGCCTATAAAATTTAAAAATTTTCCACCCAAAAAATTATACCAATCAAACACACTTAATTAACAATTCCCTACAAAACAATTTCTATGTAATTACTTTCCTTGGAATTCATGTTCTTTCCATCCATTTTCCACCCTTACAATAGGGTTAAATGGAAAATGAAATGGGATTTAGGACAATAAAGTCTTTTTGTATACGAGGACATTTTAGTCATTTACAAATTGTATTATCCATTTTATATATATTTAGGCCTTCTAAGTTAAAAGCATTGATGTTGGGCTTTTTAAACAAATGTTTGGTTTGACTAGACTTTTTAAATGAAAGCCCATATTATTTTGTTGAAATGTATTTTAAAAATAAGATGAAATTACACAAAACCCGGTATTTCAAGATCCAACTTCAAAAATCAAGGTGAAGGTTTTTTTTGTTCAAAAATCAAGTGTTTGATATTTTAAATATTAAATATTAATTATACAAATTTCACCCTCAAACCCTAAAAATCAAATACCACTCTCATCTCACTCTTTCTCTCTCTTCCCGTCGTCTCTCCCTCCCACGTGGCCGCTGTCGACGAAGACCACAGCGGAGGGCGACAACGCTCAAGTGATACCTCCGAGCATCGCTTGCAGCGTCAATCTGTGCGGTGGTCGATTGTACCCGCTCTCATCGGACTAAAACCTATCCCCAATCGACGACGACAAGCGGCGGTAGCAGCGCCGACTCGAGTACCTAGCTTTTTTCTCTCTTCTCAACCTCTACCGACGTCCGAACGCCCTTATTTGACTGCTACAAGCGACAACAACACCAGCAGACGCAGTGGTGCTCACTGTTCGAAGCGACGCAGCAGTAGCGTCACCTCAGAAACATTGACAGAGCTCTAGATTTTTAGGGAGTTTTTCATTTTCGATTCATCTATTGTGTGATGGGTGCGGTGGTCGACAGTGGTGATGGTGGTTGTTGTGGCAGTGCTTTGCGTGTGAGATAGCACAGGGGATGTGATCTAGTTGTGGTTGTTGCAGATCAGATTCGAAGAAATGAATTGGCGGTTGTGGTTGTTGTTGGTGGCGGCTACGACCGCAGTGGTGGAGTGGGACGAACTATGTAGCGGCTGCGGTGGTGGTGGATCTTGGTGATGGTGGTGTTTTATGCAGCGATGATTTAACTGTGGTGGCGGATCTGGTGGTTTTTAGTGGTGGTTTTGGAAATGACGGTGTTACTACTGATTGTCGTGGTGTTTGGGTAGTGGTGGTTGTCCTGGAGGCAGTGGCGATAGTACAAAGGTGGTGGTGGACCTGGTGAATTTGGTTTTCTGTGACTAAAAATATAATCTGTGACCAACCATTTTTTACATGTGATCTAAAAATTATATAATTTGTGACCGTGAAAAAATCTGTGACCAACTAATTTTGAAATATATGATCGTGTGACCTATAAATTTTGATCTGTGACCAACTAATTTTGAAATTTGTGACCAACGAATTAATTGTGACCTACAAAATTTTTGAGCTATGACCGTAAATTGTAAATCTGTGACCAGAATAGTCACCGGAATAGTCGCTTGAATTATTGCCGGAATCGGAGCAGTCGCCGGAGAAGAGTGGTGGTCGAAATGGTCATCGGAATAGTCCCCGGAGCGGTATAGGTGGTGCATGAAGGATGGGTTAATTATATTATATTATAATTAAATATTTAATAATAAATTGATTTAATAATTTATTATTTCATAAATAAAAATTAGAAAAAACCTGATTTTTGAATT